CAACCTTTCCCCTCCAGGAAGGAAAAGCTGTACTCCCTGCCGGTAGGTTGACTACCATGTGGTTGTGCAAACCGTCCACAGGCGCGCTTTGAATGGTTTGGTCGCCGTTCTGGATGTGGAATGGTGTTGTTTTTCCCTCATTCGGAAGGGGTTCCGCGGTGGTGCGGTACGGTACATCGGTGAAAGAAAGTCCAACCGCACTGCTGTTGCCACATCAAGGTGGCCGCTTTGGGAATGGAGGACNTTGTTGCCACAGCAAGGTGGCCGCTTTGGGAATGGAGGACGGAAACGGTTGAATAATGGTCACCAAACTGGGCACCGGGAGAGTGTGACCCCGCTGCACTACTGCGGAACCTCTAGTGGGCATGATCTTGTTGGGCCGTATTGGAATCGTGCCGGCAAAGTTGAAGCGGGGATTCATTCGTGTATGGTAGTACTCTGGATCATATCGACGAATGGCTAGGCTCTTCCTCTCCTGCGATCTGTTGTGTTTTCTCTCCTCTGCCCATGTCGCTTTCTTCTCGCCTTCCCCTTTTTTTGCAGATCAGCGACGACGATCATTACTCGTGTTGCCAAAGGCCACTTGAAAAGTCACCAAATGCAGCCCTTCACACGCGCATCACTTATTTACCCTCCCGGCTTTCCCCCATCAGCGCGTTCATTCTCTTACCATCTATCCCTGCCTTCGTTTTTTTTGTGTGTGTTTGTGTCATTGACATCCTCCATGGCAGCGCCTTTTGTGCCACGTGCGTCTCGGCGGAGTCCGTGGAGCGGGCCCAGAACAACGCCAGCCCCCTGATGGGCCGCTGGAAATGGGGCAGCGACAACCCTCAGGCTTTCTTTGAAGGTGACCAACCCACTCTCTGTCTTGCTGTCCATTTTGAATTTTTTTTCTATTTGTTTTGTCATGCGCGTTTGTAGTTTCCAAGGCGGTTGGCTCGAGACCCTACGATGATGAGCTTATCACGTCACGTGTTACATGCTGTTTCTTGCATCACTGCTACCCCACCCCCCTCTATCAAAAAACGGACTTGCAGCCAACTTTCCGGAAGGGTGGTCGTTCAACGGGGTGACCTGCGGTACCCCCGGAGAGTTCCCTGAAGGGGCCGACTACGGAGTGGGTTTCGTGGGCAAGGCGCCGGCGTACGTCATAGGGTACTTTTCGTCGTCGTCGTCTTCTTCCTCCGGGGGGGGCTCCGGCTAGTGGTGACCCTGGCCGGGGACGAATAGTTTTTTGGAAGAAAGTGGGAGACGTGGTTTGTAACATTTCAGCAGCCGTGGGGTGGTTAACAATGTTTTGTGATTGGTGAGCATGATGGATAAAGCATACAATCGGGGACGTTGGGAAAGGGTTAGGGTTACGGAGTAGGGTCTGCGCATCCCCTCCCCGTTATATTTCCTCATTAACCTATTTCTCGCGAAGGGGGGTCTGAGATTTTGGCGGGGGCAGTGTTGTAGGAAGAATCTGTATGTGGTGGATTCTATCATGTCGTGTCGGTACTGCTTGTAGTTTTGGCGCGAGTGTTGATTTCTTCGGAAGTACTTTCGTATGTAGATATTTGGGGCATTAGCGACGAGGAGGACGGGAGAGGTAGAGTTCATGGGTAGGTTGTACAAAATAAAATTCGGTAGTCCGGAAGCCATGGACTTGTGCTGTATGGCGTGAGGAATCATCGTGAACAGATGGCAACTCATGCATGCGGAGGCCGGAGTTTGCCACCGCTCCAGGTGCATGAGGTTCGACTCTCGCTGCGCCATCCGGAGCGAGCCCACACAACCCGTGTAAAGTGCACCCATGTGTGTAGAGCCGATAACAACCTCAGCGGTTGCCAGTCGGAAACATCACTTTTACTTATTGACGGTAGAGGCCACACACGCGCACACAGAGAGCGCCTTGGTCCTGACCCCCCATCTCGAGCTCTACACCCACATCCACACCTGTACCCGTACCGCTCATTAACCCGTTTCCGTACCGTCAACCCGTTCCCGTCCTAGATAACTGCGCCAACGTACCCAGGTTGACTCAGTCTCGAGGAGCCCCCGCTCTAGGGCCCTTCGATCCACCACTCTACTTGACTAATGAATATCAGTAGGCTACCGTTTGCTAGTTTGTGTATATTACATCCCCTCCCTCCCCCTCACAGTCACACCACGAAAAATTGCTGTGCACCGATCAGCGATCAGCACCAATGGTAACAAAGTAGTGCAGTCACGAGGGACCCCCGCTACAGGGTCCCCCGAACAAGCAGCTTGTTCTCTAGTAGTGTGGGTCCCAATACCGGGCACACTGCGCGGAGCCGCGGCCGCGGTCTCGCTTGCGCTAAATTAGTCTGTTAGAAAAACAGCGAAAGACATGAAATGTTGAACCACTTAAAAGTCTGTGCACCGATTGGTGTGGCGCCTATCTACGGTGAATAACATTAGTTCAACCTCTTCAACGGGGCCATCATCGCTTTGTTCAAGAGGTTGTAACACACCCAACCTACTCCGGTTCCAAGAACACCAATCACACCAGATCACTGTGCTCTCCGGATTAACTGGGCAATTCACGAGGAAAAGCACGCAGTCAAGCAGACATAGATCGCAATCGCAAGGTCGGAGAGGAAAAACTCCATACCCTGCTACTTGTATACAAAAAAGATAATTCACGATTTGACACTCTAAAAGAAAAAAAAGAAAAAAAAAAGTACTTGAAAAAAAAAGATGAAACACTTCAAAGCGACAGAATCAGCAAAAAATGCTTCATTCTCGAATGCTTAGGATAGACGTGAAGTGAAGTGCAGCGAACGCACCGGAGGGGGGCAAGAGAAGTGAATACCCAATTTTCATTCCTCGGGTCAAGCGGCGACCGCTGTTCAACGCGCTGCTATCTACCGCTACCACCGCGCAAAGACTGAGGTACAAGCTTCACAGCTTCATACTACAGCGGAAACAATCCAATTCGAGGAGCACGTCATCAGCAATCAACCATACACAAGGTTCACGCACGCCTTCGTGGAAGGCTGTGCCGTAAAAAGTTGCACCAAACAAAGGTCGCTTCTATCTCCCATCGTTTTGGGCCGCGATGCCCGTGTTTGAACTACATGTACTATGGACGTACCCGACGTTCATCTAGACAGACAACGTATGCTCTTCTGGCGCACCCCACCACTTGATTGTGTCTGTCGACGCTTCCCTCGCTCTCGCCTCCTTTGTTGCCGCGGTCCTACTCCCTCTCGCTCTGGCTATCGTCGTCGTCGTCGTCGTCGTCCATCTGCTCGAAGCACGGACACACCAACGACGACAATGTCGCCGACACCGCCCTCACTGCCCGGCAGATCCCCCCCGTCGCCGGGCTCGGCGAACGGGCAAAATGGAACCAGGTGGCGAAGGGGTTCGTCGACGACGGAGCCGCGGCATCGTCAGCGCCGCCGCCATCGCCGCCGCCGCCGCCGCCGCCACCGCCGTCACCGCCGCGGGCCCCCGCTGTGTTGTGGACGGCGACGGGGACCGGGGCGAGGGCGTCCAAGACTGCGGCAGCAGCAGCATCAGCAGCGGCACCAGCGGCACCAGCACCCGTCCACGCTCCTTCTCCCAGCAAGGGGCCGACCACGAACAGCCACGCGGCGGAATCCGCGAGGCTGACTTGCTCCGATGGCGGGGACGGCGGGGACGGTGCGGACGGCGGGTGCGGCGGCGGTGGTGATACCGCCTCTTGTCCGCGGCTGGTACTCCATCCCAAACCGATGCGGTCGGGAGAGGAGGCAAACGGCAGTTCGGCGGCGCCGTGCTCCTGCCACTGCTGCTGCTGCTGCTGCTGCTGCTGCTGCTGCTGCTGCTGCTGCCACGTGTGACTGTCCGGCGAAGGCGCGGAACGCGGCAGCGGCTCGGATGGTGGGGACGGCGGGGACGGCGGTGATCGCGACGACGGCGGCGGTGGCGGGCGTGGTGTCGACGACGGTCCGCGGGGTGGCGACGGCCACGAGCGGAAGATCGAGTCCTGCCTGTCGAAGAGACCGTGGAAGGAGTCGGATACGATGCCGTCGAAAACGCCCGTGTCCCTGGATGGCGGCGGTTGAATCGCAGCGTCGAACTGCACGGACGGGGTGCACGTGGGTGGGGGGGGTTCGGAACGGCGGGAAGGTTCGAGAGGAGGGGGACAAGCAGGTTGTTGTAAAGGGTGCGACTTTGCTGCAAAATATCACGAAGGTCGGGGCTTGGTACGACGCCGCACCGTCTAGCCGACAGCAATATTCCAGCGAAAACAAAACGACACCCACGACGCTGGATGTTACACTGGAAAACACGAACGTACCGTTACACAGGTATTGTTGAAGCTAGAAATCAAATACTAGAAGGCTACTTCTTACCATGGCCAGGGAGTCCGGAGCCTGCCCTCCGCCGCCGCCGCCGCCTCCACCGCCGTAGCCGCAGTCACCAACACCGCCGCTGGCGTCGTCCCCGCCTCCACCAACACCCGGCGGTGACGCCGCGCCGCCAAGGCCGTCACCGGCCGCCGCCCCCCCTGCTCCCGCCGCCGCTCTCGCCGCCGCCGGCGAGGGGATTCCTGCGTGAGACACGGAGCTCTCAATAGTCACCGTCTCACTAGCTATGTAGGTACAGCTGTACCCGACCGCCATGGATGCGGCAGCTGCTTCCGGACTGCCGGCATACACCTCCCCGCCGATCATCCCACTGCCCTCGGCCTTCCTGTTGGCCCTCGTGGCCCCCATCTCCGGGGGCTCAAGGAGGGATAGAAGTATCGTCTCCCTCATGAGTCGTTCCTGAACGACCGGGTCTCCTAGGCCCTCCAGCCCCGTAGGAGCAGCGGGAGAAGGGGACGGCGGCGGTGACTCGTCGTGTGACAAGCCATCGACCCCACCGCTCTCGCCGTTGTCGGCGGTGCTGTTCACACCGGCACCTGGTTGTTATGGATGGCAACGTCAAAGAGCGACGGAAAATACAGTGTCCAGGAACAGGGGGTGAGAAACAGAGGCATTGCCAACCAAAAACTCGACGTCAGTCAGGGGGGCGGGTCTGCCGCGCATTCAATCCATGGTGTGGTCAAAGATTCGGGGTATCGATCGAGCGCATACTATTGTACTATGGTTACCTGCACGGAAGATTCAACGGCGCCCCGTTCTTCAGGGCACACTCGCCTTTGGAACACGCATCGATCACTCAGACTCTACTGACAAAAAACACAGGGACGGGAAGATGACTGCATAGTGTTTCGATTCGAAAATGCAAAACCACATCGTGTTGCCGGCAGCTAAACACGACCCCTACAGGGATCGACAGGACACAAGACGAAGGGAAATTACCGTAGACAACAGAATGGTATCCGCGCATGTATGCCGACGCCCTCGACACCATCCTATCCTGGGGCATTGCAACCAACCAAACGGGCAGAATCATGGATGATTTTAGGGTGGGGGGGAGGCGTGAGGTTTTGGCGAATGAAAAACTCAACACAAAGCGAGCGAGTGGCAGCGGGTCTATCAACCCCGGCTTGTTGGTTGTGCATTGAGGTTTTGTGTGGATCGGCAGCGTTGTTGCAGAAACTACGTAGTAGCTCGCCTTCTCTCTGGGGTGTACGAGGAGTCTCCCACGTATTCATGTTCCCGAGGTCCTGGAAAGATGAACATGGGGTCGCTGGTTCCGTTCCGGGGTCAACCGGCGATCTCGCCGCCTTCACCGAATGCCGTCCAAGCCGACCGTTCGGGAGGCCCCCAAAAACCCTTCCCACAAGCCTGTTGAAGTTGGTCACGGGGGGAGGGTCGCAACACCGGTGTCAGCCATCAAGATATCCATCCAAGATCAGCGGTGCTTCCCACGTGCGAGAAACATGATCGCATTCCTCCATTGCTGCGGAACCCTTACTTAGCATACAAAAAGGCTTTCCCGTACTTTGCCTAGACTAGAACAGGATTTCCTGCCGATACCCCCGCTACAATTGAGCGCCGGCCTGGTCGGCCGTTGGGTAGGTCTCCGAACACACGACCCACCAGCCTGTATAAGGTTGGCGGGGGCGGGGGACGGTCGCAACTTCGGTGCGTTTGAAGGCCTCCCCAACGACTGGCTAGGACGGGGTTCGATCAAAGCGGGGGGATGGGCGGGAGAACCTGTTTTGTCAGCAATCGAAACATCCATCCAAGGAAAGTGCTTCTCGTCTTGAAGAAATACCATCGCACTCCTCGATTGTTACAGAACAGCCGGTGCTACTGAAGCTTCACAGCAAAGTTTCCAACACTACGTTATGAACCAGATCTCCCGCCAGCAACCCTTTTTTGCCATGCGACCTCTGTATGTGTCGCCTGTCTACGTACGCCACTATTTCCCCTCCCCGTAGTCCACGCCTCTAGGTTTTACTTAGCCCAAGAATGTTCAAAAATAGCGTAGCGTTTGTACCACGGGGCGCGAGAAACAACATGAACTGCCTGCCTTTGCCCGAGTTGGTGTTGGCCCGGGGCGTATCTTCTTTCGGCGTGCGCCCGCGAGCATGTATCGTCGTTTTTTGGCGTGTTTACCAAGAGAGTGCGGGTTGGAGCTCTTGTATTTAAGCCTGTGTACATCCATCCACATTTTGGTGGCATGTACCGGATCCAGGAGACTCGTGTATTCCTACAGACTGTCACGTGTTGTATACAACA